TATAAATTCATTATTTTGTATTAACTTTACAGGATTCTGACGACGGCTCATCACCTTCAACCCCAGAAGATGGTACAATCAAAGGAAACTCAGAAGAAGAAAAGTCTACCTGTGCGAATGACTCAAAGGGATCTACATCTAAGTTCACATGTGATGTATGTGATAAGGCCTATAGGCATAAATCTGATATGCTCCGTCATCGACGTAGTCATGTTGAATCAGTTGTAAAATGCTCTCAATGTCCAGCATCTTTTCCTACTGAGATGTCTCTAAAGAAGCATGCTGCAGCAAAGCATAGCAATGAAAGTCGTGACTTTGGTGACCATTTTCTTGCACAACTAGTTCTTCCAGGTTCTAATGCCGACAGTGAAGATCCGCCTTCACCTGAGCCTAAATATGAGAATAAAGCAGCTGCAGATGCTGCCAAAGGATATCCATGCAGTCCATGTGGGTTGAGATTCAGAGACAAAAGAGCTCTTGACCGTCACAACAAGATGCACACTGATGTTGAGAAACTCAAAGGGTACCCCTGTAACCAGTGTGAGGAGCGTTTTAGAGACAAAAGAGCACTGGAACGCCATATCAGACAGCACTCTAAACCTTATATGTGCATTCAATGTAGGGCGCGATTTTCAACTGATGAATTATTGAAAGAACATGAAAGCAAGCATGAAGATTTAAAACAGTACAATTGTGAAAAATGCAAACAGGTTTATTCAAGTGCTCGTAATTTAAAGCGCCATATGCAGATCAACCACTCAAGTGTGAAACAGTTAAGCTGCCCAGTGTGCAGAAAAGACTTCCTTTCTGATCAGGACCTAACCGCTCATATGAAAAAACATGAAGAGACTACCTGTAATCAATGCACTGCCGTTTTTGATACAGAAGAAGAACTGAGAAGTCATGTCTGCACCATGCAATGTCACTTTTGCATGGAGTTGTTCGCATCCAAGACAGCTTTGGAAGATCATATGCTTAATCTTCACGCAGCAGAACTAGAGGAAGAGAGGAGTGATGATTATCGGATGGATGGAGATGATGATTTTGAAGATGATGATGATGACGATGATGATGATGATGAGGATGATGATGATGACAGTAATGATATGAGGTTTGAACCTAAATTGTCGATTGTAGAGGACAGTGTTGATAATATGGAAATCGCTGATGATGATGATAATGATGAAGATGAAGATATGGTGAGAACACCAGAGGATGTTAACTCCGAAGAAGGATCTGATATGGAGAATGGAATTAATGACTTCGATACTAGCCCTCAAGATGACACTCCTTTATGTATTGCATGTGGGACATCATTTCATACTACAAAAGACTTAAAAATCCACATGGTTGAACATGCAAGAAAACGTTCTTTTGGTTGCCTTAAATGCAATAAGAACTTTACAACGATGACAAACTTGAGACGCCACTTACAACATCATGAGAAGAATACTTGCAAAAGATGTGGTCTATTTTTCATTCATGCCAAGTCTTTGGAAATACATGATTGTGGATACACACCTCATTGTAATATTTGCAACAGGCCATTCAACTCAAAGCGTGAATACCGTCTTCATATGTCTACCCATGGAATAATTGAAGAAGAAGACAAGAATGAGTGCTATAAATGTGCTGACTGTGGCAAAACATTTGCCAAATTCATGAATTTCCGGGCTCACCGGGCTAATCATACTGGCGAGAAGCCTTTTGTGTGTCGAGATTGTAGTGAAGGATTTTTATCTGCAACTGCTTTAAGAATTCATCGCCGCTCTCACACAGGGAAAACTTACTTTAGTTGTCCATTATGTGATGCAACTTTTGTCTATGAGTTCAAGCTAAGGCAGCACATGTTGACTCATAAAACTGATGAGGAAATGCCATTTCATTGCCCCCATTGTCAACAAGGGTTTGTGGCAAAATCTGGTCTCCTTCGCCATGAAGTTGTTTGTCAGTCACAATCATCTGAAGTAAATAAAGAAGAAAGTGCTGAAGCTATGCGTAGGCAAAGAATGTACAACAGAAGCAAAGTTGGCAAAAACCCTAACAAGAAGTGTCATGAATGTGGAGAAACTTTCTTACGATATGATCAATTCCTTTTGCACATGAGAACTCACAATGACAAGGCAGAACTCCCATTACAGTGCTCATACTGTCCTAAAGGCTTTGTTCATGAATATAATCGCAAACAACACGAGAGGTTTTGCTCAAAACGCTCTGCTGAAGAAAGGGAAGAACGTCTCGAGAAGGAAAGGGACTACAACTTGTACAAAACCTTCAAAGGCCAAAAAGTATTCAAATGTCCTGAATGTAAGCAAATGTTCCGATATAGGCACAAATTTGTTTTGCATCAAGAAACCCATAAAAGTGATGGAGAAAAGAAGTATCATTGCTCTCTTTGTGGTGGTGGATTTGTCTCTAGATCGGGGTTGAAGAGGCATGGAATGCATTGTGAAAAGCGATCCCAACTAGAAAGGGGACAGCGGCAAGAGAAGAAGAAGCAAAAAGCAAGCATGCTTAAACACTCCAGAAGTAGATCGAAAGGAGAAGAAAAAAGTCTGTGGTGTGCTGACTGTGGTGGAGGGTTTACAGACAAGCAAGAACTTGCGAACCACAGACTTTCATGTGTCAGAGCTATGATTTCAGGAAAGAAAAAAGTCGTGACTAAAACTGCTCTGAAAGATTTTAAATGTCCAATTTGTACCAGAGTTTTCCATTTTGCACACATTCTGAAATTACACATGGATGCCCATAATGGAATATTCCCATACCAGTGTAAGATGTGCTCAAGGGGATTCACCCTGAAATCAAGTTACCTTCTGCACAAATGCCTCAAGGGGTCAGAGTCTGGTGAAAGAGATGGTGAAGGAACCTCTTTGGATTATATGGACGCAGAAATGCAAATGGACCCTGCTATTAAACAAGAACCTTTAGATGAGGAAGCTTAAAGTTCTATGAACTGTTTGTAAAATTTTTGCACAGACTTCTAGATATGCACCTAGAACAAGTTTCTTCAATTTTTAAGCCCAACGTGTGCAATGTGTGATTTGTTAATACACATCTTTCAGTGCGTTATTTCCTGATTGAAACTTTCAAATATTTTTCACTGTTTTTTGTTCATTAATTTTAAAGAGAGTAAAAGGAGACTTTAAAGAGTCTATCTTGGAGGATTATCTGTAACATCAGATTTTCTTTATGTGCAATAAAAATAAATATTTTTTGTTGATACAGAATGTTAATTTTATGATCCAGCTTTACATAGTATACATTGTTTAAAACTTCTGATAAATGGTTGCTGATGTGCCATTTTTGTTTTTGGTTGTATAACCTGCATGTGTAATTCATTCTCCCATGTTAGCTCTGGTTGTGTGAGTAGCTATCCGTACTTCAGGCACTCATTATTAGAGTATTATTTTCCTATCAGAGTGATAGCTGCATAATATGTTCCTGCTTGACATGTCACTATGTAATTATGTCAAATGTGTATTAACAAGTATTGATCCCGGTTATTACGACAGTTCTTAAGACTGACATTTGCAATAAATTCTTAAAGCTTGTAATGTGATGACTAAGTCAATGTGGTGTTATTACTTTCAAATTTTAGTTATGATATATCTGTTTATATTTTTATTTGAAAATGTGTACATTTTCTAATGCTGTTTATTTGTTTATGTGAATGTTTAAATCACAATATTGTCCCGCACTTTCCACGTTGAACAAAACTAATGGCCTGGTTTGTCCGGTTTGTCTGAGTGAAGAATTTAGGTAATTGCGTTTTATACTTTTGGTAGGAACTGTTAATGTTCAGATTACCTTCCAGAAAGAATATCTGGCAGCTTTAGTTTTTGAAGTAAGTTTAAGATGTTATCCATCAGTTTTAAGGCATACAAATTCAGTAGCTTGTTGAGTATTGTTCTGAATTATAGGTCCTACATTTAACAATGCAGAAGTCCTTGTCACTCTGGGATTTGTTAATGTTAAACTAATTCTATTGAGACACATGAATAGAATATGAATCTTTCATTGATAAACACGTTTCTTAATCACTTTTTTTTCCTCAGGTAAAGTATAGTTTCTGATTTTAAATCAAAAAATTATTATTACCAAATTCCTGTACTAAGTTGGATGGGGACCAATGTATGAGCTTATTCTTGATAGTTGTTCTCAGGTGTAATTAGGTAGTTAACAGTCTCCACCTATATTTTCATCAAAGAACAAATTTGTAGCCACAGCTCCTTTTTTTATAATGAAACTTTGTGGAAATCGTGGTACTTTAAGGTTGTGGTGATTTATCTAGTTAATTGTTGAACAGAGCTCAATTGTCCTTACAAGAAAAATTTAGAGTAAGCCAATTTTTACCAATAAACATTTTGAAGAAATCCTAGATTTTCCAATCATTTCCCCGCGTGCCTTCCCACACGGATCGACTCCGGTCGAAATCAGGGGAGACAAGTTAGTTCGGTTATCGGATGCGTATGGTGTCGCGGTGTGCGATCCGCCGGCCCCGTCACGTAGGCCAGGCCCGGCTTGGCGCTGCCGCCCCCGCCGTCCTCGGCTCCCACCCCCTCCGGGGCCTCTGGATCTCGCTCTGGAGCCAGACGTGGGGCTGGGCACGTAGTCCCACATTGCGTCTCTCCTCGTCCTTGGCGTTGGTGCGCGTATCAACCTCGCGAACCCTGCCCCCGTCCCGTTTGGGAGCCTTTCGCTGCAAGTGGCTGGCCTTGAAGACACGACCAAACAACACCCCCGCGCCACGCCTTTGCCCCGCTCGGACAGACGAGTCCCCTTCATGACGTCACGCTGACGTTTCGGGTGACATCCGGTCAACGGACCTAATGAAAGCGGGTGTTTGTTTACTCTCTCCCCTCCCCACCCCTCTTCCAAATCACCCAGTCACCCGGTCGTACACAGCGGAAGGGAAGTGGGGGGG